GCCTAACCTAATTAACCTAGTTAAGTCTTTAAATGTTACTTTAAGCTGTATAGAAGTGTCTCGAAAATATCTAGTCAAATATTATTAAGAAATGTTATTTTTAGAAATAAGTTATTAAACTATTATGTTTTGAAATGTATTGAAAAAATCTTCCCTCAGTAAACAAAAATTAGGGAAAAATAATAATAATAATAATTGCGAATAAACAGGGGTGCTAATAACACACGCACACACACACACGCAGCTGAAGTCAGACTTATTAGCTCCACTTTGAATTTTGTTTTCTTTTAAAATATTTCCCAAATGATGTTTAACAGAGCAAGGAAATTTTCACAGCATGTCTGATAATATTTTTTTCCTCTGGAGAACATATCTGTTTTATTTCAGCAAAAATAAAAGCAGTTTTTAATATTTTAAAAACCATTTTAAGGTCAAAATTATTAGACCCTTTAAGCATAATTTTTTTTCTCGACTGTCTACTGAAAAAAACATTATACAATATCTTGCCTATTTACCCTATCCTGCCTATTTACCCAGTTAAGCCATTAAACGTAATTTTAAGCTGTTTAGAAGCGTCTTGAAATATTTCTAGTAAAATATTACTGATCTAGTAAAATTCTAGTAAAATATTTACTGTCATCATGGCAAAGATAAAAGAAATCAGTCTTTTAATAGACATGAGTTATTAAAACTATTATGCTTAGAAATGTGTTTACAAATCTCTGTTAAATAGAAATTGGGGAAAAATAAACGGGGGCTAATAACTTTGACTTCAACTGTATGTGTCACCTTGCAGAACAGTTAATGAGAACTGCCATTTAAAAAAAAAGACAACATTAAACGTTAGCGAATCAAAGAAAGTACAGAGGCACGTTCACATTTAAAAACTTTAATATCAAGACATTCAGCATACAAAATAACCCAAAGTTTAAACCAACAACATACTGTCAGTGCAGAATAAAAGTTTACAAACGGTTGTTTTTTTTCATCCTCACATGGCGCAAACGAAATCATGTCAGTATAAATACAGTATCATGTCTGTTAATAAATACATTCAAAACATACATAACTTAAATCAAATAAATCCTCTGTTAATAAGTTAAAATGCAAAACATATTTTCATCTCATTTTGGTCATAAATGCATACTAAAGTTCGCTTCAAGGCATAAAAAGAGCCAGCGTCTAAAAATGCTACACCTGAAAGCTATCACAATAGTGGTTGTTTATTCTTCTTGCTGATGTTTTTACTGGAAAAAATGCAACCTTCAATACAACATGACGTAATATGTTGCTCTAAGACATTTAAAGTAGGCATGAAAGTCTTCTTATTTTTGAAAGATTTCAAAAACGAACTAGGAAAAATCAGTAGTCACACAGTGAAATGGTAAACTGGACTGAAGAAAATTGCTACTGAATGATTACATCGTGTCATCGTTTAAAATAAATGGACGATGCAAAACGTTATCTTCCAAAAAAATAAAAGATTAGTTCAGTATGTCAAAGTGTCATAAGGATTATTGTCTATGGATTTTTCATCTCTTCTCATGACAGTGAAACATAACTGGAGATGCAGATTATAAAGAAAACAAAAACAAAGAATCGTCAGTAAGTACCAAAGTATGAAAATCATGCCATAATATGACAAAACGGGAACGCAAAAAGCTCTACTCAAAGCTGCCAAGTCATTTTGTACCACTTTAAATCAGAACCAAAATCAAACTACAGACAATACACAAGGAGGACAATGAAGGAAAAACCATGTTTCCAGTGGTTTTGCTCACACTTTTGTTTTGGTTTGATTAAAATAGAGCTGGGAAATTTTGCCTAAAATCAAAACCTCAATTAATTGAACATTTTGACTTGATTACAGTTATTAAACGATTATCATTTCCCTCATAGTTCATGGACAAGTTTTGTACAGTAAACATGCTCACATATTACAAGTGAGAGATTTTTGAATGAAGGGTGCATTACTTGGCTTTGAAATGATTGAAGGAAACACATTAGAGCTGGGCGATTTGGCATAAAATCAAAATTTCGATTAATTGAACATTTTAACTCGATTACAATTATTGAACGATTATTTGATTTATTATCTTGATATTTTGTACAGTAAATATGCTCACATATTGCAAGTTCGGGCTTTTTGAATGAACCCAGCAGGCACACAACATTATAAGATGTTAGTGTTGGGTTGGGTGACCAAAACGCAATGTCTTGCCAACATCTAAAGATGTTTTTTTTACATTGATATTTGGTTGGTTTTAGGTTGTGTTGGAAAGTGATCAAAAACTCAACATCTGATAGATGTCACAGTGGTAACGTCCACACAACGTCAAGGTGCAAATGATAAGACGTTGATATTTGGTTGATTTTAGGTTGGACATTGACGTTGGGTTCTGACATAAACCCGATTTCCATTTGACAATATGTTGACATCCTGTGCCCGCAGGGAAGGGAGCGTTACTTGACTTAAGGAAACATGCACTATCCACTATCTATGATCATTTATTGAACATCTAAGTTAAACAACCTTAATTAAAACACACTTTGCCTAAAACAACAGTCACTTTTTTTCTTATAAAAAAAGTGAAAATAAATAACTTGCACTTTTGGAAAAAAAATAAAGCATTTTCTATATTTTTCATGTTAAAAGAAGCAAATAAGTGTTTGTTTTTTTCTGAACAGTACCTTAACTGTAAAAGTAGCTTGAACTCGCTCATTCAGAGGCGGGCACTGGCGGTCGTGCAATAACTTTAATCATAAGGTAAACACAAAACAAAAGTCTTCATATGGAGCTCCTCTATGAGAATTGACACTTGTAAACATCTCTCTCGGCCCCGACCACACTAAACAAAGATACCAAACCACAAAGCTTCCACTATGCATTGCGCTAAGTATTGCATTGTGCTAAGTATTGCACTTTGTAGTCAGCCAGGACAAGGGGTCTCGACACAGAAGAATAAACAGAGCGGGATCACATGCAGGCACGTGCACACATAGGGCTCAACCTGTGCAGTGCACATGCCCTTTTTAGTCTTGGATAGAAAGTGCCCTTCGAAACGATCAAAAGTGCCCCCGCGACACCCCCCTACCGCTCTTCAGTAGGCGCGCGGCAACACCGCTCTCGAGTACGCGTGCTCCCCCACCCTCCACCCCCCCTTCCCGTAGCTTACAGTACACGCGCGACAACACCACTGATCAGAACGCAAGCAACAACAACCATCCACCCCGCTCTCCAAAAAATGTATCCTGCACATGCCCTTCTGACAGTCTCTGCACGGGCCTGATCATATGACTCCACCTGGAAAAGTTAGAACGATTTTAGGTTCTGAATCTCGATTTTAATTACTTTTCGATTTATCACCCAGCCCTAAAACACAATCTATTAATCTGTAATAAATAAATAAATAAAATTATTAAATAAAAAAAGAACAATTCATTTATTAAATTATAAAATTTTATATTATTTTATAAAAGACATGTTGCCTAAACCATCGGTCACTATTTTCTTATAAAAAGTGAAAATAAATAACTTTTGTAAACAAAGTAAATTATTTTTAATGTTTTCATAATAAAAAAAAGAAAATAAGCAGTATCTCTTCTAAATAAAATAACTTTTGTATCTCCTGTAAATAATATAAGCTTTTCTTGTATCTTCTGTAAACAAATATTTGAATGTAAATAAAAAATTTTATTTAATGGAAAATATGCCGCCTCTAGGCTTCTCTGGCGCAGCTTGCAATCATCGTCAATGTTGTGCAAATTACAGCTCAAAAATGGGTCCGTCATTCTACTTTTTGTATAAAAATAAAGGCTTAACAGAGCAGGGACACACGGTAGGGAAAATATTTAGGGAAAATAATAATAATATATATTTTTTAAATAAATCAACCTGGAAAAATGTAATCAATTACAGGTTTTGAATGTCAATATCGATTACTTTTTGATTGATCGCCCAGCTCTAGATTAAAATAAACCTCGATGTGATAGTTCTGTTCATAATTCATGAGAATAAATGAACCAAAACCACTGAAAAGCTAGCTCTCCGTCCACTTCCAAACAAACTGTTGTGGTTAGACTGAAATATAAACACATGGACCATAAACCATCTAAACGACCCCAAAACAGTACATGACATCACAAGATGCGACTATGAAAAGCATAAACTGCATAAACTGCCCATTACAGTTCAGAAGGCATCAGAAACGCATTTTCTTGCAGCAGATCTTGGAGAACTGCGAAAAAAAACCCACACACACACCATGTACACACAAGCAGCAAGCACATTTAGCCCAGCTCACAGCAATGTTTTGTATGTTTGGTGAAATCTTTCGCAAAATACATGTCATAAAAGCATTTTTTGGTATCTTTAGGTATGGTCTAAACACGAATAATGTGAATGCTAGGCGAATCTAAATGTGTTATTTTCTATTGTGGTCTAGACTAAAAAACAAACCATGAGTACTAAACTACAAGTGTAAACACCCTCAAGAGCAGATTTACTAAAACAGAGCAAATACGCAAGAGAGTTAAATTTCAGAAAAATTACTGATGTAAGTGGAACGTTTTGGGAGTGATCTACTGACAACCGCAGGAATTAAATCAGTGTTTCTCAACCATGTTCCTAGGGGACCACCAAAACTGCATGTTTTGGAGGTTTCCTTGGTCTGTCACACCCATTACAGGCCTTTCAATCTCTGCTAATGAGCTGTTGATCTGAATCAGGTGTGTTTGGTTAAGAAAACAAGGAAAATGTGAAGAGCTGGTGGTCCTCCAGGAACATGGTTGAGAAACACGAATGCAGCAGATCATTTACATACATTTCATATAACCTCAATTCTTAATCATGCCCATCTTAGCATTATTTTGCTTCGAGGGATTAATGCGGAACAAGAAAGCCCTGCCCCTACTCAGTATTCGGTTTGGGTTTAAAGTACATACATCAGCATACTAAAATAAAAAGTCTTAGCAACTTTGTTCACACAGACTCTAAACACTGTCCTCCTATATATTTTGTGCCTGTTAAGGAAACTCTAATGGGTAACTAGCAAAAATCCATTTTGTTAGCAAATCTGGCCCAAAATATATCAATTATAAGTAATGATATCCATCATGTCTTGAAGTGACTGTTTGTCATTTTTTTTCATGCAGATATATACTAATAAACCATTAAAACATGGTATGTCGGTTATTTACTCTATCTATCTATCTATCTATCTATCTATCTATCTATCTATCTATCTATCTATCTATCTATCTATCTATCTATCTATCTATCTATCTATCTATCTATCTATCTATCTATCTATCTATCTATCTATCTATCTATCTATCTATCTATCTATCTATCTATCTATCTATCTATCTATCTATCTATCTATCTATCTATCTATCTATATTTTTGACTAGCAGTGTAGCCATTTGATCGCCTTCCAAAAACTGCATTGGTACTGGAGCAAACAAGCTGTTTTAACACCTCAATTAACACTGCTGTTATTCTTCTGGAACAGCCTGAAACCATTGTGAATCCTGTATAGACACACAAGGATACTTTTGTAAGTCTTAAAGTCCCATCACCATGTTTTGTGCTACTGCAACCGCAAAGCAAAGAAAACGGACACTTTTTTTCTTTGGTAGTGGCACTCTGACATACTTAAATTAATATGAGATGAATGCCGAAAGAAAATAGCAGAAGCATGAATATGAAACAAGCTAGAAGGTAAAGTCATTTTCTGCCTTTTCCCAGTCAGCTAAAGTCAATTCACTGTGCTTTAAACGGAGATCTGTGAAAGCAAACTAGTTCGCTACCGTCAGAGTCTACTTGTTTTGGCCTGTGTTTCTATCTGAGGTACTCTTCTTCTGAGAAACTTTCCAAGCTCTCGTCATCACTGTCTTCAAGTTCTGGAAGATCTCCCCATAAGAGCAGGTTCTGCCCTATAAAAGAGACAGGCTTCTGTTAATAAATGCTTCAAACATAAAAACATACCAAAATATGTCCATCATATATTTATATTATTATTCTAATATTCTAACAAGATTCTAACATCTTTTCATTTTTTTAAAGAAATTCTATGTTCACCAATGCTAATTGTAATTAAAAATGTTATCACAATAATAAATGGCTGTTTCGGTTTCATAATCATTGATTATTATCAATTTGATGCATCCTTTCTGAAAGGAAAATCTTAGAAAAAGAGAATTTACATCTTAGTTCTAAAAATGTATTTTAATATATTTTTAAAATATCAAGAACTGAGCAACATTTTGCAAAGTGTGCTTTTGTGTTGGTATCTTGGCTGCTTTAGGCCTGTCATGGATAATGAAAATGATCTGGGCCCTCATGTATGAAGACTTGCGTTGAATTCATACTAAAACATTGTGTGTGCACAAAGCTGTAAATGTGCGTACGCAGTAAAAAATTCAGATGTATAAAACACTGCGTACGCAGAATCCCACACATATTCTCTTTGTACATCCGAATCAACGTAAAACTGAGCGCAAGAGAGCAAAACCCCTCCCTGCCTCCTCCCCCATGTGAATAAGGTAATGACTCTACTTTGGCAAGACCAAATAAAAAAGCAATGGCAAAAGCAAGCAAAAAGAGAAACTTTGAACACAATGTGAATTGGAGGTGCTCCTTTCGGAGGTAGACCGGAGAAAAACTGTTATTTGCAAGTTTGTCCTCCAGAATTAATAACAAAAAAAAAAAAAAAAAATCCAGTGGAACAGTTTAGCTGACATGGTTAACGCAGTGGGATCTGAACATCGCACTGTGAATAAATACATTGGGTCCAATATAAAGATGTAAAAAATTGTAGTGTCTATTTAGGCTAAGTGCAAATAGCAAACCCTGTTTGGAATGAGCTAGTTGAGTAATTCTCGTCCATCACCGTTTGATTGACAGAGACAACATAACTAAAGAAAGTGCGGCATAGCTCGTAAAGCTCATGGCGACATGTTTGGACACGATCGATCATGAACTTGGTTCGAATCCAGCGTCTGATTAACTCATTCTTCTTTTCCCGCCATTTCATATCAGATTTTGTCTACTCTTCATCACAAAGAAGACAAGTAGGAATCATTAATAAGTGTGTGTATTATGTTAAGCGCATTTGAGCATCACATTATTTGCACATTTATTGAATGGAAATGTTTCTGATTCATGTGTGCAAATTCATCTTTAGAAGGTGTCTTTATAGCAATGTGCGTGCAGTTGATCGCTCCGATTACATTGGGAAAACCGAAGATCGCTGCTAATTGCGCTTTAATGTTTGCCTTGTCAACTGCATGGTATGGAAACCTATACCTGCTAGACATGCGGATAATCCCGTCCCTAACAGCTGCCATTGCACGGCTCAAAGATACTTTGTAGTGCAATTTAACACAACTGCCTCTAGGAGTCGCCAATGAAAATAAAACAAACACACACAACAAATGCACGGACGCCAGGGGTCCGTTCTTCGTACCTCGCTTAAATGATCTAAGATGATTTGGCAGATCCTGGATCTTTTAATCTTGATAACTGATCTCTCGCTAATTTGGTTCTTCAAACAAGTTCGCGAATCAGATTAGATTGTCTGGATGAACTGATCTGAGATCGCTGCGTGTGTTGTTAAGGACAGATCTATCGATCCTCGAAATCATGATCAGCAATGCAACGATTGGCTGACGGCACAGCAGCGTAATGACATCATCTGATTAATATTCAATTATCCATGTGAGCAAAATTACATCAAATTAGCAGTAAACGGCTTGTTAAATATGACACGCAGTAACTTCACATTTGTTGTGAGCTGCAGGCTTTACACTTTCATTTGTCAAGACAAGAGTATTCATCATGTATTTCAATGCAAATCAATGTATTTAGTTCTACATTTAGAAAAGATTTTCTTTATTATAGTACAGTTTTTTAATCGGTGTAAAGAATAACTGGTTGTTTCCAAAAGCATTTTGATATTGGTAAAGGCGTCTGCAACTTTTGTGAAGCATCAAATCACTGGCATATTAAAAGTCAAAACATGTTTATGACTGCATAAATGTATTATTGCTTTTAAAAAAAGTCACATATTGTGCATTTCTATTATACACAATTTGTACTAAAGCGATCTAAAAAGTTCATATCAATAAGTTTTCTCTTTGCACCACCAGGTGGCAGTCTTTGTATTTTAATTTCGAGGGTGCAGATTGCATACGTTTTATTAATATGTAAAACTTTATTTATTTTATTAATGACTATAACTTTATATATATAGTTAAAAACTACTATTTTCCCAAGTGTATATAACTTTTACTGTAAGAAAATATCAGAACTCGGTACATACTTTCTGTATTATCTTTGCTTGAACTGAGCCGATCTAATCCTGTTTATATGATTTGAACCTGCTCCCGATCAGGTTTGACCTAGCAGATCTGTTGCCATGACAACAACTCTCGGATCAGCTTTGAAGAACGAAACGATCCTGGATCGTGTCAAATCGTCAATATCCAAATCCAGCTAACTGAGTAATCCACGTACGAAGAACGGACCCCAGATATGAAGTTGGTGTAGACCAACGCACAGTCTCACGTTCATTTAATCGTAGAGCTGCAGGGCGATATGGCAAAAACAATTATCACGATAATTTTTTTAATATCAGTCGATATCGATATATTTCACGATAAATGTAAAATCTTTAGATCTATCAAATATATAAGATTTTCAGCATGCAAATGGCTTTGTGCAGCTGATTTAACACATTTAGTGAAATATTTTAGCTGTCTGACAATATAAATAATAATATAATAAACAAAAGAACAATCTTAATTCAGCATTTACTGTTTAAGTTTTCAACAACCAAAGACATTACCTACAAGTTATTGTATATTATTATTCAACATCAAAAAAAAAAAAAAGGTTTGGAACGATGCGAGTTAAAGGTCACATAATTTTCAGTTTTGGATGAACTCTCCTTTCAATGGTGAGTATGGTGAATTTAGGGTAAAACATACTTTAATGTATTTATCTATTGATTGTTGATAACGCTTTTATCGATAGACCTTATCGATGACTGATTAAGCATGGACAATGTAAAGGTTTAGTTATGCTTTGCACTGTGAGACGCATCCACGCATTACATAATCAAGTGTGTGCAGTTTACTTATGCTGTCACCCTCTTGACATCCCATATTGCGGGATGCATAAACCCTTGTTATGCGCATATCTCCGATATATCCGCACGTGTTTTAACCAAATTTGTCTGACAGACTAGCACGAATAGGTCTATGCAGACTCTTAATTTACAAATCACGCATCACAACGAAAACATGCGGGAGCCAGCCGGGCAGCCTCTCCATTTACACAGCGAGCTACTGAGCGCCATCCAAGTTTATTCTTCCGAGCTAACCCACGAAATCTATCAGTGCTGCGAAAAGACTGTCTAGTTCATGCTGTTCGCGCTTAGTAAATGAATAAAAATGAAACCGTGAAAATAGTTTGATGGACTGTTTTGGCGCTAAAGCATATAGCGGGCTTGTGTTAAAGAGCTTTACCTCAGATGTTATTCGTTCCTCTTGTTTATGCTGTAGATATGACTAACAAAATATACATCAAAATTAAGTTACACATTATACAAAACGAAATTCGTTACAAAAAGATAAATTAAGGAAATATGTTTATATTTATTTAGTTCGTGTCCGCCTTAAACAACTGCAGGTGGATGATGCTTCGCTCCATGGAAAAAAAAAAGGATTTAATTAATGATCCACTGATCCTTTAAATATATAAAGGCTGGTTCTTTTACTGTCGATGAGGGACAATAGTGGTATTACAAATTTCAAAACAAATATCTTAACATTAAAAAGGAAACATAAGCTTGACATCAAAAGATCCTATTATTGTCGTAACAAATAAATGATGCAGCCTGTAGTTTACAGCAAGCATCAAGTGTTCATTGAGATGTGTTTGAGATTGTGTCGTCTGTCATATCTTTCATCTGTCTTTTTGGGGGTTTTTTCTCGTAAGGCACGGCTTTCAAAATTGATGACATGAACCTCCGCTGGGTAGCTGCGCTAATTTACCAGCACTTGTTTATGTCTGTAATTTCTTAGCATCTTCATAAGGGTGGTGTTGTTTTAAATGATGAAACAGGCTTGTGGTGTTGACTGCTTTTAATGACATGAGTCGTCTGCTCAGTTTGCGGTGCACGTTGATCTGTTTTGTTTCGGATAGCAAAAAACGAAGTAGCTCATGAAGTCTAGTGACGTTTTTTGTCAACATGATTCTGACCTTTTTACCTTATTTCTTTCTTACTCATTTAAGTGCAACTAACACTGTATGGGTGTAAACTTGTACACCGTGCGGCATCCGGAAGGGCAGGCTGCAAAATGCTTGCGCAACGTTACGCATAGTGCTTAAATATTATCGAGCAATTATCGAACTTATCGAATTATCATTATCGTTTTATTTAAAATTTTTATATCGTGATAATTATCGATATCGAATTATCGCCCAGCCCTATTTAATCGTTAGAAAATCCAAACGCGAGCTTGAAACCTGGCGTACGCAAAATTTTTGAGTGTACGCAGTGTTGAAACATGAGGCCCCAAGTGATTAATTAATTTAGAAATCAAGCAGCTTGCTGTCTTTATAAATGAATCATTGAATAAATTTGTCAAATGATTTATTCAAAACCAGATTCATACAGAAATGAAAAATTGCAGTTTTGTTTAATATCCACAGAGATAAATTCTTCAAAGAATTCTGCTCTTGACTTACTTTTTTTGTAGGCAAAACAGAACAAAAACAACCGTATTGTCTTTAAAATGTAAGTAAATATTAGGTTTTTGTTTATTGAAGACTTTAAATTGAATTGAATTGTGATTGTGCTCATGAAATGATATTAGGAAATCAAGAATATATCTTTCAAACTTAATTTCAATGGGTTGGGGGGGGCACACAGCGAACTAGCATATTCAAATGTTAATTAATATAAAACTATGCAGATGGCACTATGTGGCGTGACAGAAATATGAACAGACTTGCAGCACTGGTATGCGTACCCTGATGGAAATCTATGTTTCGAATTGTAAAATGCATGCCAGTCATGGCACCAAGCTGCACATCTGGTGTACAACCCCCTAAATAGGCTTTACATGCAGTAAATGAGTTTGAACTCTCAAGTGAAATCTCAAGTTCAAATTGTTTTTTTTTTTTGCAATATACTCAATTTAAGATCAATTTACTAAATCGCATGTTGTTAAAATAATTAAAATATATTCTATGTCAATAAATATTGCACACCCCTACTCTGAACACAGTCAAAAATTTTGCCTCATGTGTCAAACCTGTTGCATCCAGTCTATTGATGGTGGACACGGCCTCACTGTTGAACATCCAGAAGTGACCATTGTTACAGGACAGCAAGCAGGGTTTGCATGGGGCCACCACGTGATATCCCACAACATTCCCACTGAATGTGCAGAAAGAGCCAGACAAAAAACACCTGATTCAAATGCTTTGTCAAACACAATAAAACAGAACAACAAATTGCTCAGTTCAAACAAACAATGGACTAAACAATACAGCTAAAACAGCAAAACAACATATTTTGTTTTGTACAGCTTCAAGTCTAAATATGTATAAACCAAATAGTTTTTTATATTGTACTCTGTAAAAAAAATTGCACAAGTCCTTAATGTTGTTTCAACACAAATCGATTAAAGTCAACTTACTTGGTTTTATAAATTTTAGTTGATTGAACATAAAACAATTAAGTTATCCCAGAAAAACCCTCAAGACTTGTTGATTAAGCTCATTATAAATAAATAACTACAACAAGCAACACAAATATTTTTAGTGCGCTAAAGTCTCACCATTCAGAAAACAATTTAAAAATGAATATGATTAAATATGATTTGATGATATGATGATTTTTTTTGCAGAAACTGATACTTTTAAAAGTAGATATTATAACATTTAAAAAATACTAAATACGGTATTTATATGAAAAAGAAATCTTTGACACTGCATATCACTTAATAGATGACCAGATACAAGTCAGACTAAGTATGCGGATTAAAGACATTTTATACATTTCAATTGCATTGAACTTGCTTTCCACGTATATAACATCAAAATGAGACATTTAATATTTAACCTACATATTGTCTTAATAAACTATTAAAAACCAACCATGAACACTAGTTACCACTAGGAGAAAACAAAAGTTAGTTATAAAGATGTCTTTACCATTTCAAACAAGCAATATCTCTTAATTTGCATTTGCAGCTTTCAGTGGAATAGCAGCTTGCCACAAAATCAACTGTCCTAAGTAGGGAAAAGAAGCACAGTTTTGTTTATAAGCAAAACACTATATTGATCATTAGAAATAATGTTTTGTGAAGATTTCTGTGATGAAGGAAGCCTCACCTATTTGGTGGTATGTCGGTTGAGAATAGCTCTATTTCCGTATCAGCCAAAAGCACTGCTTTCATCCCTCTGGTACACAGCAGACTGTCACAGTATATACAGTTGATTTGCGTCACGCACTTATTCTTGAAATTTGAAGTAGACATTGTAGAAGTGAGCTTTTCTCGGGTACAGCTCCTAGCAAAACGCAGCTCCTGTTGATTTAAAACGACAATAGAGAGTCGATCAGCATCTGAACTGAAGGCTACAGCAGCAGATGTTTGAACAGACGTTCTGCACCTGTCTGGCTAACTAGCTTTAGCCTTGTTTTACCTAAATTGCGTTAGCAATGTTTATAACTAAGAGAAGTAAAATTACAAAAACGAAAACCTTAGAATAATAGCACGAATGAAAATCACAGCAATTCCTGTCTATTTCACTCTTCTGTTATGATCCAGAAAAGCGTTGTCTTTATTGTTATCAGAGCGCTAGCTAGCTAAGTAAAATATAAATGTTTTATAACCAAGCATGCCATAAAATCGTTCTTACCTTTAATGATATCAGATCTTTTTAGATCTAGGCGGCAAATAAACACATTGTACTAAGTTACAGTAAAATTCTCTATCGCTACAACTGGGCTTAGATTGCTAAGCTACGTTTGTTTACGTCCGCGTCGAAGCGGATATGCACTTCCTGAGACATTTTCAAACAGCCTGTTCTCTGACGCTGATTGGTTCCAAATTAGCATGTCTCATGCGTGATTGGCCAGCTCCAATTCCTTTGGTGATTGGTTGAAGTGCTTTTCCGCAAACCACAGAACCGCCTAGGGGAAGTACGACTCATTTCTGAAAATCGGTTCTTTCGAACGACTCGTTTCAAAAAGCGATTCAGTAATTATTATGCTCATACCTGGTTCCTGACATCCCGTTGTGGTATATTATATCTTCAAAGCCAAATGTAGGTACAAATTGGTCTTTATTACGTTTATACCCATATCAAATAATAGTGTTTGGTGTGATACCCTGTGTTGTAATTCAGTTGCAGCAACTAATTTAGCTTATAAAGTGTGTTTTAATCACACATTCATCTTATGATATATTAATAGATAAATTATTGTACATCTCTTGGTTAAAGAATATTTGCGTGATTCATTAATCATTATGCTTATGTAATAAAGTGATTCACTTAACTGCAACAGTGTAATTCAAAGTGATTGTTCTTCTATAGTTTGTTGTCTAGCCAGCCTGAAACATTGAAATTAATCATGAAAACCTACAATCTTCCATGGAAAATTGTTTGCCCCCACATTTGATCACTGCATACCATAACGTTTAAGTCATAAACGTTATATAGACTGAATAACGCGATTATTTGAATAAATCGTTTAGCTCGATGCTGTGCATGAAGAACTGTTTAGAATGTGAACCGACTCAACTGATTCAATTGAAAGATTCGACTCATAAAAAGGATTCTTTCAATCAGACATCGCAAAAATACAACAATGTGAAAAACGACAATTTTATATGCTAATTGTTATTTCTTTAATCATTAACGAAGACATAGATACACTCACATGAAATAAATAAATATAAATATAATAGTCAAAGGAAAGTAAATCACTACTTACAATTACAATGTTTACAATTATTGCTATCACTTAAACTTACTAAATCTATAAACTGTGTTGTGCTTGTGATATGAGACAATATTAATCCCCTCAAAATTGTCTCTCTTTAATTGTCAGTTTGATAGATTCATGTCGTGTTCAAGTGTTTCAGCCAATGACAATAGAAGGGGGTTGTTCTTTCTCTTCCATGAAAAGAGGCGGGGTTTGAGTTTGGGAAAATTCAGTGAATAGCGTAACAACAAGTCTTGGGGGAGAAATCTGGTATATGAAAGCTGTTTTTAGACATGGAAATCGCATTTTAAGGTAAGTGGATTATCGATTTAATGCAACAGTTTATGATTCGGGCACATAAGGACTCGAGAAAGCTTCGCTATCGTCCGGATGAAATGCAGGGATCTCCTTGAGGAAAGCCCTAAACTATTCCGAGAGTCACCAGGGGCCTCTCTGCTTTTCACATCACGACAAACTCCCTCCTAGTTGCACATTGCCTCTTCCTTTTAAGGACTAATGATTTAAAGTTTTCTCCGATCCTGCAGCTTTTTTGGCTGACAGTATTTAAACGTGCATCACATGATATGAGCAAGTTAAAGTACTCTTTATCATCTTTTAAAGACCTCAGCTATTTTAAACACATTTGTTTTAAGCTGCTATTCTATAATAACAGTGATCTCGTCTTGATAAGTTGATAGGTCAAAGATAATCTTTTTGATTACCTTATAGCCTATATAAAATCATAAATGGCTGTTTTCCTCCACACTTATGACACTGTTACTACAAAATTTTTGTGTTTTGTGTTTTTGTTGCCATGGTGTTGTGCAAAAAGTGCTGTTATGTGTAAATTTTTTTGGGGAAATGCTACTGTTATGAAAAACAAATGCCAGGAATATATTGCTCATGCAGATGAACAGGAAATATGAGCTTTAAAATGTCTCATTTTGGCAATTAATAATTTAAGGCCTTAAAATGAGAGCAGAAAGTAAATTAATAAATAAGATATTAAATCTTGCATGTATTGCAAGCACCATATCTTTCTCAATATTTTTCCAAATACCCTTATCTTAACTTCCCTAACGCATGATACATTTACTTAAGATTCTAAATTAATAAGTACTTTTTTAAAATGATTGATTTAAGCTGATTTAAAAAAAGGCCATGGATGGAATTATATATATTTACCATAAGCTCACTTTATTTGGACTAGTTTTACATAAATCAAAGCTTACATTGTTGTGTCATTTTATTTCATAAGTAATATCTTCTTTAAAAAAAGAATTTAACAGGTATCTCCACCAGAAAACAAGACAAAAGCACAGATAAAGAACACATAGTTTGGAGTGTCATCGGAAGATAGACAAAGTTATTTCCATGTTTTATCTTTTCACAAAGTTATTCAAAAATAAGTTTTTTTAACAAAAGCCTTAGGGTTGCATTTGATTCAAATTATTGATTTATTTGTCTTTACTTGGTCTTTGAATCATTTTGACTCATGAAGTATTCATTCATTAATACTAAGTATAATCATTAAGTATTAAATTCATAAATCATCTAATAAATCTTGCATGCATTGCAAAATGAATATCTTCCACAATATTTTTCCAAATACACATATCAAATCTTCCCCAACGCATGCATGATACATTTACTTGAGTTGCAGAATAAATAAATACTTTTTAAATGATTAATTTAGGCTGATTTATTAAAGACCATGGTAGAAATTATATCTATTAAAATTTTATATTAATTATATGCTTAAAATGTTATAATTACCTTCATTAAACCTATTACTCATGCATTATTAAAGGCTTATAAAGTAAACATGTAAGGTCAAGATTTGCATGCGTGAGTTTGCTTTATCATGCACTACTGATGTAAATAAATATGACCATTCATCAGTTTATAATATCAGATTTCAAGTTCACACTTTGCATTTAATCATGTTACATTTAATCCCCAAAACATGGTCTGTTTGTAAAGAGGAGCTCCAACCCACCTCTATTTTTCAACAAACGAAACAAAACGAAAATATTTTTGAGGAAGTTTACTGGAAGGAAGTAGTCTTTAGAAATCTGATCCGCTGAACTTTTCTTTGCCCTGTGTGTGCCCAGTGTGATGCTGGGAAATCCTATCCATGCCTTCATCCAGCTCTGAGGAGACTCACTCACACGTCTGACCGCCAGAGGAAAGACTGAAACTTTTGAAGACGCTGCGTCTGGTCGTGGGGATCCAGTGTGAGTGGACGGTGGGATGAAACTCTTCTCTTGCTTCATTCCTCTGCTGTTACGGACATATTACTCTACCTTGGAAGCCATCGGCAGCTCTTAACTAATAATGCGGCGTGATTGATCATCGACAGGAGACAATACCCATCCACTGCTTTCCATTCCCACATATTCGCTGGATATCTGTAGACGAAGTGCGGGCGAAGAGGCTTTTGTTCTGCGGTGTTTCTCGCTGTGACGGGACTTATTGTGTTTAGATCAATATGACGTCTCCTGCTAAATTCCGAAAGGACAAGGAAATTATAGCCGAATATGAAACGCAAGTTAAAGGTAAGTGAAATGTGTCGCTTTATGTTGCATTTTCACTCGGTTCACCTTTGTGTTACGTGGTGGCTAGGTTACAGTGTATTTCTATATGAGCACAGCTGGTGCAAACCCTGTCGTATTACTGCAGAAAACGCTATTTATTTGAGTTTGTGAGAAACAATGCTAGCGCTTCTCCACATGTGGCAACGGAATGATAGATGTGCGATCGGTCAGTCAGTCAGTCAGTCAGTCGCCTAAAGCTATATTGTCTGTAGATACACAACTTAAACCGTTTATAACAACGCTTTTACTTTAAAAATGCATTGATGTGTGATTAATGTTACGTTTGTGCTGTGTTGTACTGTTTTCCCTCATTCAGCTTGTGTAGGTTGTACGTATAGACAAGGCAGGGCGTTTTCTTTTGCCCTGCGTGTCTCTATGAGCTGGTGCGGTGCTGTTCAACCTATTGATTTTTTAAAAGTCAGGTTAGCTGACATTGATGTTTTACAGTAGTTCATGGACTAAGTAACACGTTTAAAATACGTTTTGAGTTGAATCTGACTTAACACAATCGTGTTTTGGCAGCACTGACGGCGAGTGAAGTAAAGGTGTGATGCTTGATGACAGTTCGGTTATGACTGTGTAACCTCATATGTTATTCATACTACACTGTGGTAACAGTTAATGTGAGTGTTAGTTTGGAAGCCGTTCACTTGTTTTTAAGTAGTAGCATACTGTGTTTTTTTTTACAAAGTAATTGTAACTACTGCACATTTCTTCACTTACACATAATGCGTGTAGCCTACGTAACGCGTGTTTTTGTCTCAGGATTTTCGTTTCCATAAACACTTGTCTGGTGAGGTAAAATGAAGCTGCTTTTAATTGAAAGACGAATTGAACGATTCACTTCATTAGTGGAGCTCCCTATCACGTTATACGCGCTGTTGTGTGTGCCTGTTCTTTTGTGTGTTTGCCGGCCACTGGCACTATGAATAGTGCATTTGAGCAGCTCTGCCTGTTGCTGCTGAGTGTGGGGAAAATCTCCTTTAATAAGAGTCAGTGAGTTTCTTATCTTTGAGTTCTGTTCAAGAAGGTCATTGTGACATAAATATTGCTAAAGAGAGCATGAGCATGGTTTAGGGTGTCAAAATGTAAGCTTTGCATGGATTGAAATGTGGCTAAAATCAGCTTAGACTAACCTAAGCTGGTCTTCCAGCCTGGTTATAAGGCTGGTTTAGAGTGGTTTGGGCTAATTCCCAGATAACCAGACTGGGCACTATCTTAAACCATGAGACAAGCAAATCATCTTTGTTTGAAGGTTGTTGTTAGTTTCATCAGTGGCGATATGGATACACATTTGGATTTTTCATTTGTATGTATCGTCATCAATTTAAAATTATGTTTTTCAGGTCAACAGTAATAAAAATGAACCTTTTTAGAGGAAGAGGTCTGTACTCACTGAAATTCTGCACCCTCCAGTTGTTGTAAACCTGTTTAAGTTTCTTTTTATTTTCAATGCAAAAGAAGATGAAGAATGTTGGAAAAGCAGTAGCTTCACTTTCATATATTCATTATTTATCTTTATTTCGATAGCGCTTTTACAATGTAGATTGTGTCAAAGCAACTTAACATAGAAGTTCTAGTAAATTGAAAATGTGTCAGTCCAGTTTTCAAAATTAAAGTTCAGTTTAGTTCAGTTCAGTGTGGTTTAAATTTCACTGCTGAAAGTCCAAACACTGCAGAGCAAATCCATCGATGCGCAGCTCCACAAGTCCTAAACCAAGCAAGTCAGTGGCGAGAAACAAACTTCACCGATTGGCGAAAGTGAAGAAGAAAAAAAAGCCTAGAGAGAAACCAGGCTTAGTTGGGCACAATCATTTCTCCTCTGGCCAAATGTCTCATGCAGAGCTTTAGGCACTAAAGGCTGGAGAATGCTGAACGTTCATCACAGAGAAGCTGCAAGTGTGAGTAGGTCACCAGCGGGTGTTTAAACTGCCCACTGGATCAATGCAAAGACTTGTCTGTCACTGGGGTCTTTCAGGAATATTTTGTCTTGCTATTGCTGTCAATAGCTTCCACATTCCAACATTTTAAATATATTAAATATATTCTTAAAAATGAAATTTTTGGGAAAGGAAGTTTGGGAGCTGCTTGAGGTTGAGCAAATGAGTAAATTGATCTGACTAAATCAATTTGAGCTAACAGTACACTCAGTCATTGATAAGTCCTACAAAATACTGAATACAAATGCTCAACTAATGGATTTTTAAATAGAGGACCAATGACAAATGGCAAAAAGTAATGGAAATTAATTGACAAGTGAATGGGCACCCAAGTTGTCACACTCTCTTTTTAGAAACTGGCATTTTTAAAAATCTTTGTTACTACATTTACATAATTTTTTATCTGTGTTTAGCAGATGAATGGCATTTTAAAGAGAATGAATAATGCTTTAACTTGCATCATCATCTCTCATGCAAAGAAAGACTTTTGTTTCAGTTTATAAAATAAATATGAATCTATAAACCTGATATTAATTTTGCACTATTGTTTTTCTTCCAATTTCTCTCTGGATCCTGTGTCACATCACTTTCTCTTGCCAGTTTTAACCCCCAGCCTCCCCCTCATGTGAATCCTTATTACTTTGCCATGCCTTAAGAATGCTTGTAGATCATTTCGCTCAATAATCTTGAGTTGACAGGAACTGGAAAGAAACAATAATAAGCATGATTTCTTTTCCCTGGAATAACGCTTGAAAAATGGCCTAGATTTGGAAAGCATCACTGATTTGGATAAATAATCTGTCATGAATTAGTGGCAGAAGGAAGCAGTAATTGCTTGGTGATCCATTTCTGCAGAGGCAACCAGACATGAGGAGAAAAGTCTGAAATTGGAGAAGTCACAGAGAGAGACATCAAAGCTGCATACACTTCTAAGTGGATTATCATTAATTAACATCAGCTCGATGCGAAACATACAGTTTTCCATCGAAATCATGTTCGTATTCCCAATGCCCTGAAGTTGGTACTGCTATCTTAAGCTGTTTAATCCAGTAAAACATCTCCCGCAAACAAAATCTAGAAACATCTGACTCTAATCTACAAATCTCAATACCATTGCATCTCCATTTTTTAAGAAGGAATCATAATTGAAATAAACTCATAGACCCATTGACGGCTCAGAGACTCTCGTAGTCGAATCAGCTGAAAGACATTGAAAAATGGGCTTGATTTTTTTCTGAGGACTGGCAGGAAATGTACAGCTGCATTTTTCACCACAGCTGGTTGGAAGGATTGGATAATGTAGCTATAATCCCTCAGACATGGGGAGTGAGTCTGTCAAGCAACTGAAAAGTGACTATGCATATAAGAGCTGTGGGAAACAGCATGATTGACTGCTCTAATTGTCATCTGCATTAAAAAAAACGTCCTGGAAGATTCGTTGCCCTCTCATTATGTTTTGTGCCTGATGTATTCATTTTTTATGTTTTATTTTACTTTTTCGAATAATGTACATTGCAAAAACAGTATAAAGAAAAGAAAATTGTAAAACAAATAGGGATTATTTGTGCCTGATGTATTTTTAATTACACAAATTAGGGCTGCACGATATTGGAAATAAAATCGGCATTGCAATTTTTAGTTTTCAGTGATAAACATTTGATATGAAATATAATTCACTGAATAGATTGAATAACTTTTTTTTAAATAATTTATTATTTCAGATTGATAAGGGTGATTGTATAGGGGAGTACATCGGCATAAATGATTAAAATGAACTTTAATGCACATTTTTTGTTTGATGTTTGACATAATCTCAACTGAAACACGAAGAGAGGATGGGACATACAGTAGCGCTCAATAAATTATTAAAATGAACTTTAAAGTAGATTTTTAGTGGTGTAAAAAAATACAAATTAGAAGAAAAAATGCTTTATATTATATCTGTCTGGTAAGTCTTAATAGCAGTTGGACACAAATATTTAAAAATATAACGTAAAATCACACTTGGTAGTCTTCACTGTAGGCATGGTCGATGGATGATACCGGTTTCAAGGTTTATCACAAATTGGAAAAATCAAGGTTTTAAAACCGGCAAAGTTTTCTGTTATACGGTTCCTAAGGTATTTTTTAAACATGTTTTTCACAACTATTTTATTACATTTTTTGGGCAACAGTGTCTCCAGAAGAAAATGAATCTCTATATCAAAAGCTACTTGTCGATAAATATTTAAAATGTTCTTTAAATAAAATATATTGTGTTTAATCTAGGGGAAAATTAGTTTTTTACCCAGACATTTAATAAGAACTTATTTTGGAGAAGCAATCACAATACGGTGATACCATGATATTTTATCCAAGGTTATCATACCGTCAGAATCTTATACCAGCCCATGCCTACTTCACTGTAAACATGTTTGTTTGTTAATGCTATTGTTTCTTGTGCCTGAATGCTTTAAGGGTGCTTTCACACCTGTAGATCGATTGCTTTGTTCTGAAACAGGGATTAAAATTGTTACAATGTTGCCTTTTGTTCTTGCTGCGGTTTGCCTTTACACAGCAAAATTTCTAAATGGACCAAAATAGCTAAAACAAGTCACGTGCGAGTAAACTCTCCTCACCTTGGTCAGAGTTTTAAAGTTTATTTTTCAGAACTGCGTCCTTATTTTAATTTATGAGTAATGAGACATTATAAGCGAAAAGCTGCGCTTTAATTTTGAATGATGACACCCACAGACAGCATCACTACATATAAATAAGAGGTAAGGCTTTCTCTAGCAGTTTGCTAAAAATTATGCATTATAGGCTTTACATTAGAGAACTAACAGATAAACCAAGACTGCAGTTCAGTCAATTTTCAGATAAACAGCTCTCATCAATATTTCAGCATGCTTTCAGTTTCGTATTTGACACGAAACGCACATACCGGTAGGGATGATGACATCCCGCCCTTCTTATAATTCTCTCTTTATACTGCCGTATACAGTATTACATATCTATGATACACTGTGCCTGGTTTGTTTG